CTGCCACAAAAAGATCTGCAGCGCCGATCTTTCTGTAACTTCGCAAAGTGTTCTGAACATTCTCAATAAACTTTCTTGTTCAGTCTCCGAAGGGTTCCGGGTTGCAGTATTCGAAAGATAGGAAGAGGTCTCTCGAGCGTGACATTCAGCCACTGACCGAGATAAAGCTGACTTTCAATCTGAGCGCTTCGACAATGTTGCCCCGGCCAACTTCGCTATCAAACGACTGATAACAGCGGTGTTTGAATCGGCAGTCTTCGGCATTGTGACCATCCATGACAATCTATGGGCGCTTTTCCGTAGCTTCTGGGGTCAGACGTGTAATTCCGCGATGCTCAATGCAAACCTCCACCGATTTTCTTCATATTTCACCCATATGTACTGTCCAGGATGCAAGTGAAGTGTGCGAAGTCTGAAATGTATTGGAGAGGAAGGGAGGGAGATATCCATGAAATACGTTATGGGTCGTAGCTTCTGGGGTCATGCTAGTATGGTCGCCGGATCGGACGTGCATGTCTCTATGAGCTGGTGACGTCTGTGTGTCCTTACATGTCTCTAAGACTATCATGGAACTCCTAAGGTGACCCCAACACTGTCCTTAGCGTTAGCTTAGTGTCCCTAACATTGCTCTAAGTGGCCTTCACATTTGTGTAAGCGTCTACATATCTCCAAGACCTTCAGTTGATCTGGCTTCGGGGTGTCCGGCCTTGTGTTCTCCCTGTGGGAAGCCTGCCCTCAACATGACGTATGTCGACGTCAGTCGGATGGCCGTACTTGTCTGGAGGGTTTGCTCTTGCCCTCCATCTTGTCCTCTACCCCCCTTTTCCTCCTGCTCTCTCTTTGGCTGTCTGGCCCCCTTTGGGCGCAGAAGACCACTGGCATGCAGGTTATAAGTGAGTAGCGCTCCAGGCGCCTGAACCCCGCAGATCGAAAGGTATGCCTTTGTTTCTGATATTCGCATGTACCCATTACTACCCAACGAACAGAACACAGCGGGGAGGAGTTATGGACCATGTATCTGGTATGTCCATCAACACCGTCTCTGAGCCCTCTTACTGACAACATCAGGATCAAAGACACCTTACGGAACCGAAGTCCGCCTGCGGTCTTAGACAAAGTAATGTAGTTTTCACTCCTTTGCCAACTCATCCTCTCGAGTTCTGTCTGGCGCCCCCTTTGAGGTGATGACCGGTTCCGTGCCTCATGACTACATATGTGCAAGCTGACTCACCCTCATCTAGCCGTTGATTCTCCTTGCTCAAAGTTGGATATATCCTTCCAACATCGCAACTCTTTCCTTGGCTCTGTCTAATAACTCACGGGTTCGGCTCAACATTATCATACATGTGCGCCAGCAAAGCAGTGTCTGCACAGAACCCAATTGCGCCCATTAGTAGCTGTACAGTACCATGTAGTAATACAATATTATACGACAGAATACAGTGATATCACCCAAATCATCCAATGGTGTCTCCCAATACAGATCAGCAAAACCCAAAATTGCCCGACCGTAACCGATTGCTCACGGCCACAGTCGACCCAAATCGACGGGATTCGTATTCGTGTTGGGTCCTCATACGACGTTACACAGCCGAATACTACAGCCATCGTATATAGTCCGGATGGTCGTAGAATGTCGGGTTGCACAACTACATACGATCAAATTCGACCGAATTCGACCTGAATCGGGCACGTTTTCACTGGGATTCAGATCTGATTGTGGCAGCCTTTGCAGCACCCCTTAGGGCCTGTTCGGCAAAGAGTTGGAGTTAGAGTTACTGGCATTTCATGCCCAAATATAGTAATAATATCTCGGTTTTCAATCTCGAGAGAACTCGAGTTACTCAGGCGAGTGCATGCGTTCGGGATGCCTCCCAGTAACTCCGGGCGGTTGTTATCAGAGCTCACGCGCACGTCGTAACTTGTCTCGAGGCTCTACCCTTTTGGCAGCCTGCTTGATTCTCTCTTTCTAGAGTATTGGGATGGCTACCATGATCAACGTGGAATGTGATCAGACATCTGAGGCCATCCTACTTGAGGG